TTCCACAATTCCCCTTATAATTAAAAGTTCTGAAATAAATCTCTTGGTTTTAGTGGGTGGACTGTGAGCTCAATATGAATGAGCAGTGTGATATAGCAAACAAAAAAAAATTAAGCTAACTGGATCTCGGGCTACATTTAGAGAGGGGAACATAACTTTCAGAAATAAAAAGATGATAAGTCCTTCTGTACAAGTGCCCTCATCAGTTGTATTGTATTCAGTTCTGGGCACCATGATTTAAGAAGGACAATAATATACTGGGGAGTATCCAGAGGAGAGCAGCCAGGATGGTGAAGGGCCTTAAGTCCATGTCACATGACGATCAGTCGAAAGAACTGGAGAAGAAAAGACACAGAGAGCACATGATAGTTATCTTCAAATATTTAAAAGGCAGTTATAAGAAGGAGGAATTAGACCTGTTCTTTTTGGCCCTAGAAAACAGAACCAGGAGCAATATGTGTAAATTATGAGGTCAATTTAGGCTTGATATCTAGAAAAATTTCTAACAATTAGCTGTCCAAAAGGAGAAGAGGCTGTCTTCAGAAGTTGTGGGTTCCTCATCCTTGCAGGTCTTCAAGCAGAGACTAGATGACCACTTAGTAGGTATCTTATAGTGGAGATTCTAATTATGTATGGGTTGGACTTTATTGCCACTGAGACCTCTTTCAATTTTCTATGATTTATACCTTTGGAGGAAATACCCACATCATTGAAATCTATTGATGTGTAAATTAAGGAAGTTTCTGATCAATGTAATGAGTTCCTTATTGCACTTGATATGAATGTAGGCCAAGATCTATTGTTTTATGGCATCTGAGGGGTCCCTCCCCATGAAAGTGTGGTATGCCCAATAGGCTACTTGTTGAAGAACTCAACAGGGAACTCCTCTGATTCCTAGTGACTTGGGACTAACTTCAAGGTGGTGAGACTCAGGGTGAGTCACTCGTAGTAATAACTGCCCCTCTCTTTGGTTCAACTCACATTTGTTTTCTTTCTCTCTCTCTTCTCTCTCATCTATAATCCTGGTGATCAGGGCTAGGGCAGGATTACACATGCTTTTGTTCTTTAGTTTATCAGCCCTATCTTTTTTTTTCTTTTGTTAATATAAGTGCTAAAAGATACAATTTTTCTTTTAAGAATTTCTTTAGTTATATCCCACAAATTTTGGAATTTAATCTCAAAGAAATTTTTGTTGTTTCTATGATTCTGTCATTAACCCATTATTTACACTGTCAGATTTTTAAAATCTTCATATTTCCTTTATTGATCACATTTTATTGTGCCATGGTCTATAAAGGATATTTAAGATTTCTGCCTTCATTTATTTGAAATCTTTGCATCCTAGCCTATAATCAGTTTTTTGTATGTTGCATGAGAATTATATGTACATTCTCTAAGATTCCCGTTCAGAAGTCTCCATAGTTCTAAGTTTTAATTTTTTCAACATTTTATTCAACTTTTCCCTACTTATCTCCCTTAGAGTTGTTTGTGGTTGCCATATCCAAAATTATGTTCACAATTCCTCCTATATTTGAATTCAGCTTAAGCATAATCTGTTTTGTTTCAGCTTTTTGGTGAGGCAGTTGGGGTTAAGTGACCTGCCCAGGGTCACACAGCTAGTAAGTGTCAAGTGTCTGAGGTTGGATTTGAACTCAGGTCCTCCTGATTCCAAGGCCAGAGCTCTATGCACTGCGCCACCTACCTGCCCTTGTTTCAGCTTTTTACTTTGAATATACATGAGTCTTTCTGCTTTAAATTTATTTCTTGGAAGTAACAAATTGTAAGTTTTATTTTCTCATCAATTCTGTTTCCTCTTTATTGATGAATTCAAGTCATTTAAGGTTATAAATATTTTATTTTCTTTCCATTAAATTATTTTCTCCCCTTTTGTCAGTAACAAGGTACTATACTGCCATTTTTAAAGAACACAAGTTTATTTCTGGCACGCCCAAATACAGTTTAGTACTGCTTCCCACTCACATCCAACATAAATAATAAAACTTATCTTAATATCATGTAACAATCCAGTCTTAATCCTTGTACTTGCAAAAACATAACCCATCTCCACCTGTACCAAAAACAGAACCTAGGAGTGTATAATCTTTTTTTCCTCCTTCCTCTGATAAGATAGTTTTAGGTCTGTCTGTCTCTCTCTCTCACCCCTTTGTTTAAGATGAATTTGTTGTGTCCAACTAGAAATATTATTTCACTTATTTCATGAGCTAGAGAATATGATTGCTGAGAAGCTCTCAATAACGTAACACCAAGTCCATTATTATAACTCTTTGTGTATGTGGATTAACTAAGTTCAGTACTGAAGGCTTATGTCTCAACACAGAGTCTTCCCTGGGCATATCAGAATTTGTATTATACTAGGTCACCACAACAAAAGGAAAAAAGAATCTTCCATTCCCATGCAAGCACTCAGGCTTAAAAAAAAAAACAACACATCAAATTTATGGCAGGTTTTAATTTACCAGATAAATAAATCCAAAGAACTCATATCTGACCCCATAAATAATTAAGACAACCCTCCTTTCCCCATTAGTGAATCTCTGCCTTACCCAGGGACCTATACAATCCTTTTGACCTATAAAATATACTGGATAGGAGCAAGGGGAAAACAATTAGATTGCTGGACAAACACTGCTCTCTGATTTGGTGGGCCTCTATCTATCCAGGATTTACCTAATTTACCTAATACTCTAGATTTCTAAGGTTGAAGACCCTTCCAGCTGGGAAGTACAATTTCAACCCTACCCTAGTTCTGCAGTCCACATGACTCATAGTGAAGGACAAGGTCAAGGTTTGCTCATACTTGCCTTGGCTCCAGTTCCCACAACTATGGCAAAAACCAGATCTTTGGCTTAGTCAAAGCAGTAAAAAGAACAAAGTCAGAGCACCTGGGTTCAAATTTTATCTGTTACTTAATTCCTGTGTGATCCTGGGAACCTATCTAGCCTTGCCTTGTTTCCTCAGTTGTAAAATGAGGGCTTCATAAGGTTACTTCTAGCCCTAAATCTTTGCTTCTGTGAAGTCTGTCATTCTACCTCTGCTTCTTGTTCATGGTTCTAAAGCTCCTGGTTTGGTTCAGGAACAAAATTTTCACCATTCTACCTGTTGTCATGCCTGTAGCCATGGGATTGTAAAGGACCCTCTCCAGGGATCCATGCTTCTGTCTTTGTATAACCCCATGGTTCTCACAGCTTGTCAAGAAGACACAAAAGAGAGAAAAGGGAAGAAACATTTTAGACATACTTTATTCATAACTTGCACTCAAGCCTGGCTTTCCTTATTAAGTTTCACCTGCTTGTTCAATTTGCATTTCAAAAGCCTTTCCCAGTTCTAGATTCCTCAGCAGGAAAGAATTACATTTTCTGACCTCGTTGAAGAACCATCTCTTATTACGAATATACTCAATTTTGTAAGCTAGGTAAATTTGTTGTATAAATCACAATTTCCTTTATGTTTTAGCATATTTCATTCAACATTAGAAAATAAAATCTCTCGTCTTCATTATGTGCTCAGTTTTTCAGTTGTGTCCCACTCTTCAGATGACCCCATTTGAGATTTTCTTGGCAAAGATATTGAAGTGGTTTGCTATTTCCTTCTCCAGCTCATTTTACAGATGAACTGAGGCAAACAGGGTTATAAGTGACTTGTCCAGGGTCATATAACTAGTAACTGTCTGAGGTCAGATTTGAACTCAGGAAGATCAGTCTTCCTGACTCCAGGCCTAGCACTCTGTGCACTAGGGCGCCACCTAGCTGCTTGAAAGATTCTCTCTGAAGGTCAGCCTCTGTTGGCATCCTATGTATTCTCACCTATTTACACAGTATCCTCCATCTAAAGCTCAGAAGTCATTTAGTTCAACTTCCCTCATCGTATAGGTAAAGAAACGGAGGCCCTGGGAGATGAATTGATTTGCCTAGGGTCACACAGGTAATAAGAATGAGAGAAGCAGGAAGGCTTTGAATCAGATCCCCTGATTCCCAAATTAACACTGTTCTATACTAGGGCAGTTAGGTGGCACAGTGGATAGAGCCCCGGCCCTGGAGTCAGGAGGATATGAATTCAAATCCAGCCTCGAACATTTACTAGCTGAGTGACTCTGGGGAAGCCCCTTAACCCTATTAGCCTCAGTTTCCTCATCTGCAAATGAGCTGGAGAAGGAAATGGCAAACCACTGCAGTATCTTTGCCAAGAAACCCCTAAATGGGGTCACCAAGAGTCAGACACGACTGAAATAATTCAACAACAAATTCTGTTCTCTGTCTCTAGTATTTCAGGGCATCTCTCTTCAGTGAAAATGTCCTAGAATAGGATCATCAGACTTTTAAAAAGTGATTTTCTAGATGACAATTTTTATTGTCTCCCCAAGCTCTGTCCTCTAGCTCTGTTGCTTCTGTTCATAGATATCTGGTCATCCTCCAGTGTTTGCATTTGTAGCTTAATTACTTCCTCCAGCATCATCCCTCTCTTTTCTCCCCAGTACCTTCTCTATCTCCACCACTTCTCTTCAATTCAAAGCATAATATATAAATGCTTACTATATACATACGGGCACTATGTAGTCACTAGTGATCAAGACAAATGAGACACTCCCTGCCCTCCTCACCCCGTACCCCCCAGTAGCTTATATTCATGATCACATATATATGGGTAAATACAAATTTGAGGTGGGGAAAGGCACTAAATGCCAGGAGAAGCAGGGACAATTCATGAAAGAGTTACCAAATGAACTGAGCCTTAAAGGAAGAAAAAGGATTTGAGAGAATTAAAGTTTACTATGGAGAGCATTTCAGGCATGGAGGTTGGACTTTTAGAAGTGCATGGAGGCAAGAGATGACAGAACAAATTCTGGATACAGCTAGTAGTCCAACCTTTCCTCTCCCCAGCTTCTCCCCTACTATCTCCAACTCTGTCCCCTTTCCCAGACCCTACCCCAGCTCCTCCCTGATGTTATCTTCTTTTTGCCTGTTCTACTGCTGTCTTTTCAGAACTCCCTGCTTGCCTGTGAATTTCTCCTCCAAAATGGAGCAAGCGTGAACCAAGCTGACAGCATGGGGAGGAGCCCCCTCCACCATGCCACCATCCTCGGCCACACTGGGTATAAGCTAGGACACTTGAGTCCTGGGGACCCAAGGGAGGAAAGAACAGGTGGAAGGGAGTGGATAGCTAAGAAATGGAAGGGCTGGGAGGGAGGTTAGGAGTGGGGCAATGGATGACCTGAATCTCTGTTTGCTTTCCTTCAGCTTGGCCTGTCTGTTCCTAAAGCGAGGGGCAGACCTTGGAGCTCAGGATTCTGAAGGGAAAGACCCCCTGACCATTGCCATGGAGACAGCCAATGCAGATATTGTCACTCTGTGAGTGCCATGAAGTTGAGGATGACAATCTAGGAAAGGGCATGGGAGACTAGGGTCAGAGGGAAGATTACTGGAATGGTGCCATGGAACTGGAGCCTGAAAGGGGTAGAACCAATGCTCAAAACCCAGATTTAAGGGACCCAAGGACCCATGAGGTCAGAGTTTTGAGGAGGAATATAGGAAATGAGAAAAGATAAAACTTAGAGATATAACATTTTAGCTCAATAAACATGTGAATGTCTCTTACAATGACAAAAACACTACACTATGTAAAGCCTTTTAGGAAGAAGTTTTTGGGGAGGAGGGTAAAAAAGAGAAACAAGAGGAGCAAAGAGAGAATGAGATCCTCATCGTATCCACCCTGCTCATTTTTAGATGAGGGAATGGGCCCAGAACAGCTTGGTGATCTTGGAACACAGCCAGAGTTTTGGACCCCAGGTCCTTTGACTCCAGTTCCACACAGTAAGGAGGGCATTATCTCTGTACTCATAGAGCTTATAACCCACTCCACTTGTCTTTTTCTGCATGAGGAAAGTGGCAGCATTGTGCTGGGCACACAGTTATGACACTTTACAACTTACAAATCCACTTCATAGTTGCTGCACTTGACCCTCACACCACCTACCCAGTATGACGTACTGAGAATAGGTGCCATTATCCCTAGTTTTCCAGGTAAGAAACTCAGAAAACAGAAATGACATTTGCCAAACTGGGACTAGCACCTAGGTCTCCTGACTCCAAAGTAGTTTTCCACTAGTACAAAACTGGAAAGAAAGTAAGATGCTCCAGGGTTTCAGAAGAGGGAGAAATCACTCCTAGTTTGGGGAAGGGGAGAGAGGGGAGTTTGGAATCAGAGAAGACTTATGGAGAAGATGGTATTTAAAGCGGGCCTTGGAGGGTAGCTAGGATTTTACTTAATAGAGATAGGAGAGAAGAAATCAGCAGGCAAAGTGAGGGCCTTGACACAGAGGCAGGTAAGGTAGGTGTGGAGAACAATGAAATTATGTGCAATAGAGTATAAAGTTAGAAACACAGGTTAGGGTCTCATTGCCAGAGGCTGAGAGTGCAGTTGGGGTATGCAACTGGGAATTCATGAAACAGTGGGAAGCTATTGAAAGTTTTTGGATAGAGAAGTGGCCTGTTCCTCCCTGGACTTTAGGAAGCTTATTCTGAGCATAATGTGGAAAATGAAGAGGCCTGAGGAAGGGGCTAGGGGATTATTATTATGGTAGCCCAGGCCCGAGATAAATAGGTCAAGAACTGTGGGGTGGCAGTAAAATTGGAAAGATACTTCACCAGAGGCAGCTACAGGACTTCGCAATTTATTGGTGTGGGTGTGGGTGTAGGTAAGGATGGGAAGGGGGAATGTTGAAATGATACAAGTGTTACAAAATGGAATAGTTGTGGGAAGAAGGAGCTGGCTTCAGGAAGAATTCAGTTTTGAACCTGTTGACTTTGGGTGGAGGGGAGACTGTACAAACAGCTGCAACTTACAACAGTGCAGGTATGCAGGACTGGCAGTGGATGGAGGAAGACCAGAGGATAGGATGAGGCAGAGCCCAGCTCAGGGAAGGGTTCTGAGGAAGGCAAGGAGTGTCTGGACAGTATAGGGCAAGTGACCTGAGCTAATGAATTAGAAGCATGGGAACTAAGGAGGGCTGAGAACCAATTGCTTCCCTTCTGCCTTAGGTTACGTTTGGCAAAGATGAGAGAAGTTGAAGTGGCCCAAGGGCAAGCAGGTGAGCTAACAGCCCTCAGAACTGTGTGTCCCTCTCCTTTGGACCCTATTCCTTTTGTGAATCAAGGCTTCTGGCTGCCTGGATATCTCCAACTCTAGTCCTCAGAAACTCCAAAGTACCTCAGTCTCCAGCTTCTCTTTCTTCCTTCCTATCTTCCTCACCTTAGGTGATGAAACATATCTAGACATTTTCCGAGACTTCTCCCTCATGGCTTCTGATGATCCAGAGAAGCTGAGCCGCAGAAGCTATGATCTCCATACACTCTGAACCAAAGAGTGAGACCCCCAAACTCCTCCCTTTGGAATCATTCACATTAAAATGATCTCTCAGCTACCAACGTGTCTCCACTGTACTGGGGCTGGGGGTAGAGTTGTGTGAATTGAGGGAGGTGGATGGTGGTGCAGTTTAGGGGGTTAGGGGTACTGGGACCCCAAAATCACAACACACGCATCCTGCCCGAAAGAATTCGACCCAAGGGATAGCTAGGTGGCGCACTGTGGCAGCTAGGTGGTGCAGTGGATAGAGCACTGGCCCTGAAGTCAGGGAGACCTAAGTTCAAATCCAGCCTCCGACCAAACACTTGACACTTACTGGCTGTGTGACCCTGGGCAAGTCACTTAACCCCAACTGCCTAAAAAAAATTAAAAAAAAAAAAAAAAGAATTCGACCCAAGCCTTCTTTCAGCCAAAGACAAGGTTTATTAGAACATCCATCACATTGAGCAGACTCTTAAGGAGTCTGACCATTAGTAAACTATTGGCTAGATTTTAAGAATCCAAGCAGTGGCTAGATTATCAGAATTTAGGCATCTTAATGGAGATGAGATGGACCATATATACCAGAAGACTGTGGGAGGGATCTAGGAGTGGCCAAGTAGTCTATGAGGTAATAGAACTACAGGGGTGGCCAAGGGAGAATGGAGCCTAGATAGGGTTATGGTGGGAAGTGGGGGGGGGGCCCACCAGGAGGTAAGACAATGGAGGGCCAGGTTAGGTTAAGGGCCACAGATATTGGGCATAGCCACAGTGAAAGGCTAGTGGATGGGATTATAGCCTCAGGCGAATGGCAGAGATTTGACCATGTGGGAAAGTCCAGAGTTTTACCTTTCTGGGGCCCAGATCCCAACCCCATTGTGGGGGGGGGGGGGGGAGGAAGACCTACATGGAGCCAAGGAATTTGTGGGTAGATTTGGGAGACTCAAGACATAGAGACCCACCAGCTCAGGATGTTTCAGAAGACCCTTAGTTCTAAGGTGAAGCATATAGGGTATTGAAATGTCACCAGACTGGTAAGCCAGGAAGGAATTTAACCCTTTCCTCCAGGGTGGGTGAGCCTTCCCCCAGCTCTTAGAAGTTGAGGGGGACCCAGCTAGCTCAGGCATCCAGCCCCAGTTTTTTCTCCCTTTTTCTAGAGGCTCGGGCATTTACCTTCCCTATTCCTCCGTGGGAGGAGTACTATTATTTCCAGGGCTAGTTTCAAGACTGACTTCTCAGTCTCCCTGACCCCGCCCTCCCAAGATACTCGGAATGTGAAGTCTCAGCGTTTCTGGCTACTTGAATTCCCTGTCTTTTCTTCCCCCGGGGAACTTTCCAGAAGCCAAGACCATTAGCTCCAGCCACTGCAGTCTAAAACTTAAAGCCCTTCATAACCTTAGGGGTAGGGGGACGAAGAGCAGCCTCCAGGTGTGGGTGGCTCGGGTGCCCCCAGGCGGACCGAGCCGTCGGTGTTGCTGGCCAGTCTCAGGCTCGGAGTAGGAAGGCATTACAGAGGCCATCCTAAGCAACCCGTAGCAGAATAAGAACCCCCTTGCACAACTTTAGCGCATGCTAAGCATCCCTGCAGAAGAACCCTTAATGACTGGAAATCCTTTACCTCCAGAAACAACCCTTCCCTCTTTTGGTTAGAGTTTGGGAAGGCTTTTCCCTGACTAATCGCTTTCCCTTCGGTACCCAGGCGTGGGGAAGGGGGAGGGAAGGCGTCAGATCCACCCCGCACCCTCCTCTCCAGCCTCCAGGGAATTCCGCGTTCCAAATGCAACCTTTTCCCCAGTCCCTTCTGTCTCTCCTCCCCTCCCCATCCCAGAGGCGGGTGAGCACAGTCCAGCTCAGTCCTTGTCCGCAAAAGGGTAGTAATTCCAGCAGGGCCGGGGTGGGGAGGCAGGGGTGAGGGTGGGGGTGGAGAGGGGTAGGGCTCCGAGGGGATGGGCCTGTCTCTTAAAGGGCCTGTCACGTCTGCGTTGTTACTTCTACTTCCTGAAGAGCAGAGGACCGAGCCTGCTGAAGACGCTTGGGGAGCCCAACCTAGGCCCAGCCCCCGAAATTCAGGGCCCAGACCGTCTCTCTGAGACCGTTCCCACCCGTGCCGAATTTGGAGCGAGCCCCGAAAACGACTGCAGGGACGGCTTGGCCACCCCACACCATCCCTGAAGTCACTGCCCCATCCAGCCTCCCTCCTGCTCCCCATCTCCCTGACTTGGGAACTGGAAACGCTAGGAGTTTGGATCTGCTCCCCAAAATATCGACGCCAGCTCTAGGATATGCGCTGCTGGGAACTGAAGACACCCTCTGCTACTCACTCCTCCCCCCTAAAAGACTGCATTGCTATTTCCCTCACCGATCACCCAGAAATCAGCCTCTCTCCCGCCAATCTGTCGGCTGGAACCCTGAAACTTAATCTTCAGGTACCCCAGGAAAAGTCCTCCGTACATATCTTGGAGTTCTCAGAATCCAGCACTTCTGGACCAACAGTCCAGCTGTTTATTTCACACTAGCTGGCCTCTGTCCCTAATTTGGGTCAACATTCCAAACCAGCTGAGGTGCACCCCAAACTGCTTTTTGTCCTTGAAACCAGCTACAGGGCTATCCCGGGACTGTATCCCCAAACTTCTCTACATCCTGAAAATATTCTCTGCTACAAATTTATCAGGTGTGTGTCAGGGAGGCAGTTGCTGGGTACCCCTAAACTATTCTTTACTTCGAAGCCAGCTGGTGTGAATCTATAAATCAGTTCCTCCACCATCCCCACCCCCAAACCCAGCCTCTCCCCATCAGTATATCTCTCGTACTCCTCAAAATTCCCCCTCCTCCAATGCCCTCCCAGGCACCCTCTTTTGGGGGGCCTGTGACACTGAATGTGGGGGGAACACTGTATGCTACCACCTTGGAAACTCTGACTCGATTCCCAGACTCTATGTTGGGGGCCATGTTCAGAGAGGGTGCAGCACTGCCACCCAACTCTGGTCCCCAGGGTAGCAACTACTATTTTATCGACAGGGATGGTAAAGCCTTTCGTCACATCCTCAATTTCCTGCGCCTGGGCTGCCTGGACTTGCCTAGGGGATATGGGGAGACAGCACTCCTCAGAGCTGAAGCTGATTTCTACCAGATCCAACCCCTGCTAGAAGCACTCAGGGAATTGGAGGTAACTCAGGGAACTGAAGTGATCACAGCTGCCTTGCTCCATGCAGATGTGGATGCCACCCCCCGAATGGTCCACTTCTCGGCTCGTCGAGGTCCCCACCACTATGAACTCAGTGCTGCCCGAGTTGACACCTTTAGGGCCAATATCTTCTGCACAGATCCCACCTGTCTTGGGGTGCTTCGGACCCGGTTTGGAGTTGCTGAAGGGGAAGGAGAAGGAAGTCCCCATTTCCGTTTGGAATGGGCTCCCTGCCCAGAAGGGCTCCCAGAAGTTGAGTATCGACGTCTAGGATTGCAGCAACTGTGGGTAGTAGGAGAGGCTGGTGTGAAACGGGAGGTAGTAGGGACATCTGGCTTCTTGGAGGAAGTGCTCCAGGTGGCTCTGGAACATGGCTTTCGACTAGACTCTGTCTTCCCTGATCCTGAAGACCTGCTGAACTCCCGATCACTGCGTTTTGTCCGACATTGAAGGATAGTGACTTGGTTTGGGGGAGAAGGGAAAAATCTATAAAGTTGGGAGTGCAATCCCTCCATACTCCTCTTAAATCGGTAAGAGACTTAGAACCTTCTAGAATGACTTGGAAGAGGTAGAAGCTGTGAGAGTTAAGGGGGACTTCCAGTCTATCTCTTGACTAGAGCTTCAATATGAGAAGAAATAGAAGATTGGAAAATCACCCCTCCCCCACCCCCAACTTAGCAGAAAGGATTTGATCTGATTACCTTTAAGGACGATGAAAGTTTTTGGGGGGGCACCCTATGGTCTTCCACTGGAGCTCAGACTTGAGAGAAAAGAAAATATATTAAAGGGATCCCAAGTTAGGGGTTGGGGTTTGGGAGGGGGGAGGAAGTGAGCTGTGGAAATCCAAGTATTATCCATAAACTTGGTGAAATAAATGCTGGTTGACTGACTGACTAATGGGTGATCTCATACCCTACGCCACCCCCATGTTTCATGCTGATAGGGAGTGGGGGAGCTTAGGTAGAAGGGGGTTTGGAGTCTCTTCCTCTGTCTGTCAGTGCTTTATGTCTCTGAATGGCAATAGAATCTGTTATTTGTCTTTTGATCTCTGACTTTGCTCCTTTCCCAGTCTTTTGGCTTGTCTAGGCCTGTTCTGGAGAATACCTATTTACAATGTTGTTTGTTGTGGTGAAATGATTGGATTGGCACAGGGTGTGTGCATTTGTGTGAATTCAGTGGACAGATAGAAAATTTATTATTGAATCATAGGGTGGCATATGACTATGATATGACACAGCCCTTTGTCAAGGGGAGCAGAACCTGTCTCTGTGTATCTCTATCTCTAAGAGAGCCTGGAGGCAAAAGCTACTGGCCTAGTTGGGTTGATGAGGCTATTTTGTATTTATTGGTTGCTGTAGCAACCATGATCCTGATGCTAGGTTTCATTGTAGTGGGAGGCCCAGGCAGCCCCGGGCTGGAAGAGAAATTTAATTCAACAAACTTATGAAGAGAGGAGAAGGAAATGGAATATTTACTCTTCTATTTTGCACAGATCCTTTTTCAGGAGGAGTCACTATTTATTGTTTCATGTCTAATAAATAAGAAATGCCTAAAAAATAATAAAAGTAAAACCTTTTTATACTGCAAACTTGTGAAGTCTATGGGGGAGGGGAAGGGGGCAAGAGTGGGTATATAAAGAGGTGTATTGGGAACTGAATATGCTACAGAGTTGGAACTAGGAATTTTTCCCCCGGGAGAAAAACCTTTGGAGAGGGAATAGTGGTGACAGAGGACACTATGACCGTGTTTGCAGTTGTATCCAGAGAGGGAGTGGCCCAAGTGATTGGGGAGGAAGGGAGACCCTTGGAGAGGGATACTATAGTGATGCAGTGTTGAGTATGTTGGATGGAGCTAGGTAACAGAGTAGACAGAGGAATGGTAGTCTCTGAACCACTACCAGGAGGAAGAGTACCTTTTTATCCATGTCCTAAGACAAAGCTCCAGCTGCCCTATCCTAGTTACAGCTCTATACACAAAAGTATCTTCAGGCTGCCCTGGAGCTTACAAGTATAACCTGTGTCCCTACTTGCCCTGTTTCTCTCCTTAATTGTTTTCCCCTAGACCTGGGGGAGGGGGGATGATTCACAGAGAGTGACTGATAGAGCAATTTCTGATCATCTTTGCATGAGAAATTCATTACCATCTCTCCCTTCATTCAAGTCTAAAATCAGAAGTCAGGCTAGGGAAATGGAATAAAATCTGTCCAATTCTTTATTACCCCACCCCACCCCCATATCCATTCTGCCTATTGATTGCACCATTGTATATTCTCCCTTCTTTCCTCTGACACTGCCACCACCCTGGTGCAGGCCCTCAACACCTCAAGCCTACACTATTGCAACAGCCTGCTGGGGATGGGGTGGGGTCTGCCAGCCCCACATAGTCTCTCCCCACTCCCAGTCTATCCTCTACTCAGCTATATAAAATTGATCATCCTAATGTGCAAGTTTGACCATATCACTCCCACCCCGAATTCATTGGCACCCTCCAGGATCAAATACTAAATCCTCTGTTTAGCTTTGAAAGCCATTTATAACTTGGTCCCTTCCTACCTTTCCAGTTTTCTTACATCACTCCTTTCTATGATCCACAACTCTAGCCCCCTTGCTACTCCCTGAAAGATATCCCATCTCCCAGCTTTGTCCTTTTCCCCTGGTTGTCCCTGTTGCCTGGAATTCTGTCCCTCCTCATCTCTGCCTCCTGGCTTCCCTGGCTTCCATCAGGTCTGATAGAAAATCTCACCTGCTACAAGCAGTCTTTCCCACTGCCTATAGGCCCTCTCTGAGAAGCTGCAGAACAGATTCTTATCTCCATGGGCATACTTCCTTCCCTAGAAGCTCCCTATACCAATGAAATCACAGGTTAAAACAATAACAATGAAAAGCTCTGTGTGTATATAGTATTTATTTAAAAATGTAAATGTCATTTACCCCAGTAGAATTTAAAGTCCTTGAGGTCAGAGATGCCGTTTTATCTTTGTATCTCTATCACCTAACAGAGTGCCTGGCATTTAGTTGTCATTTAATAAATCATTGCTGATTGACTGATATTTTAATATTTTATAAGTTATTCCATTTCATACCCAAGTTTAATTTTGGATCCATCCAGGGAAGGGTTAACAAAATGGCTGCTGCTGCTGAAGGACTTCTGTGTGTACCTCTAAAGGTTGTTGTGAGGATCAAATGAGATATTTGTAAAGTGCTTAGTACAGTGCCTGGCACATAGTAGGCAACATAAAAATGATTTCTCCGTTCCTTTTTCCTACTTGGCTGTGGGAGATCAGAGAAGGATTTTTCATGCCGTGCCCCCTCTTGTGGCCAGCAAGAATGCTACAGTCTCTTAAGAATGCATTTTTTTTTTTTCTTCCCATGCACCTGAGCAAGTGATTTATGCAGCTGGGCTCTTGTTTCAAATAGATGGACACCTGCTGGCCAATTCAGTCAATTCATCAGACAACAAGCATTTATTAAGCACTATGTGCCAAGCACTGTGTTAAAGTATTCAACTTCCTAACTGAAAAATTAATGGTGATACTGTCCTTATAGGTTTACAGAAGGCATCATTGACCAACACAACCAAAGAATGTCAGTGTTACATAAGGTATTGGGATTATAGAAATCTAGGCTTCCATACCATGTCTTTTTCTGGGATCAAGGCATTCTGAGACCCCAACCACCACTACTGCTATCCTTCAAGCTGGAACATTCTTGGGGCTCTAGAACCCAAGAATAAAGAGACCAGAGTCAAAGTTAACAGAACATTCCGAAGTACTTCCCTCCATAGAAAATCAGTGTCCTGTACTCCAGATTAGGTTCTCATTCTGGTCCTCATGTGGCTCCTAATCCTTGGCTACCTATTCCTAAGCACCTCCCAAGCCTGTATCTTCTGCCGCCTCCCTTCTAGAGACCTTTCTGAACGCCTGGCTCTTCTCTGTGACCAGATAAGTTCAGAATGGGGAGACTGTAAAACCAGCTGGAACTTCTCAACCTTTGCCTTAGGTGGGACCTAGGAATCCTGTCCTCTAGTCCCAATTCTATCTCCTCTAAATCTCTCAGGGATCTGAACTGAAAGCCATCTGTTAGAATAGTCCTTCCCTCTTCTTCTCAAGCCCCTAATTCTCTTCATATCACCACCCAATAAATCTGTTGATAAGACCTCCCTTGGATCGTATTATAGGATCTACTTTTAATGTGGGCCCAGGGGATCCATGAAGGAAGACTAGATCACTTGGAGGGTGATTCCACTTTCCAGGATTTGTAAAATTTTCTCTATACCTTTCCCATCTCCCCTTCTTCCCCAGATGGTGTGTCCATGGATAGAATTACAGAGAAGACACACAGAGTCATGATGGTCCTTGGTGAGGAGATGAGAGGTGGCAACTTAGGTGGATAAAGAGGGGAGAATGAATCATCGGGAAAGATAATAGGTAGAAGGCATAGAATAAAAGAAGTGTTGATTGGTAATCAGAGAAGAGGAAAAGAAGTATGGTAAAAGGAAAGAATGGAGAAAGGGGAATGAGAGAGTGAGTACCAGGGATGGGGGACACGGAGAAGTGTGGGAACAGGAGATGAGGAGAGGAGCATGCAGAGAAAATAGGAAGTTGAGGGGGAGCTAGGTGGTGTAGTGGATAGAGCTCCAGCCTTGGAGTCAGGGGGACCTGAGTTCAAATCCAGCCTCAGACACTTGACACTAGCTGTGTGACCCTGGGCAAGTCACTTAACCCCGATTGCCTCACCCAAAAAAAAAGCAAAAAAAAAAAGGAAAGGAAAGAAAATGAGAAGTTGAAGAAAAAGGAATGATTTGGAATCAGTGATAGAAAATGGAATTGAGGATATAGAGTAGGGGCCAAAGGGAAGGTTTATGAACAAACCATTTGCTGCCCTTTTCCCTAGAAATCAAAGATTCCCTGTTTTCCCTTCCCTCCTATTGGCAATGGCTTCAGGAGACTAAACTTCCTGAATATGTGAGGCAAGGTACCTGGCATGGAGGATGGGGAGAGGGAGATACCTGGAATCCTGATGGATATGAAGCATTGTGGGGGTGGGAGGATGGTGCTGGATTGGGGACAGACACTTTTCTCCTTGATTTTCCCAGCTCTGTGCCCTCCTGCCTGCCGTGAGTATACAGCATATGAATTAAGAGCAAAGGGGTAGTTTGACCACTTGGATCTCTGAGAACAAAGGTTGGGTGGAGAGGGTGAGGAGACAATCAGAGGTTTCCAGGAGACTGCGTTCAAATCCTCATCACCACAACTGAGGCCCGAGGAGGGAGGGGGCGGGGTTCCTCCTGACCTCTCACCTCCAGCCAACATTGCAGTTCCCACTGTGACCTCCAGGTGGAAAGACTACCCTGTACAACTGCTCCACGTGCAAAGCTATTGAGGTTCATTGCTGGCCTCTCAAGCGTTGCTTCCCAGGTCAGCCTCATATCTAAGTACCTTGTCCACCCATTCCAGAAGCTCGGGCCTTTGGGGACCCAATCATGTAGCCCTCAGACTCTTATCTGGGCTTTAATTCCTTCTTCAGTAGATTCCCACCATCCTCTCCCTGACTTCCCTTTCAAAAGGGGGCACTAAGGGTCCCTCTGCTTCCATGCAACTCTCTCACTTCACCCTCTTTCCCACAGGACGACAGGACCTAAGGGAAGCCAGGATCCTGCTCCTTTCTCTTTCGGCTGCCTCATTAATTCTAGGTTTCATCAGCTGTATAGTAGAGTGAGCTGGGGAATGGGACTGAGGTTGGGAGTATGGGGCAAGTGCCATTCTAATTGCCATATTTTCTTCTATCCCATCACAAACCAGTCTTTATTTCTTCCTATTTCCTTTTATTCCCTTCCTCCAGGTCCAGATCCCTCCCTGCAGAGTGATCTCATGAGAAGATTTCAAGGCCTTCCCCCCAGTTTCCACCTTCAAGGTCTCTGTTGACTCAGTCTCTGGCTGACTCAGTACTCCCAACCTTCAAGGACCACACACATACCTAACTCCCCACCCCCTCACACACCACTACTCTGTGACTCAGATGAATACAGATGGAAAGAACCCTCATACTGTCCCCCCAGAACCCCTTTCACCTAGTCCCTGAAAAATCAGCGGGGAACATTGTCCTCAAAGTCATCTCCAGCCTTCCTCTCCTTAGTTCTCATGGGTTTTGTAGATTCTGGGAGATTCAACCTTCTTTGCAGATTCAACCTTCTTTGGAAAACTCTCCCCATGTTGGGGATGACATTACCTTGTTTTAAAGCTAACAAGGTATACATAGATGTAGGTGTATGTGTATTCATGTATATCCCCACTCACAGCAAGACACCCCTCCCCTTCCCTGGCATTTTTCTTCTCATGTTGTCACTAAATATCCTTATTTTAATCCCTTCACCTGTTCTGGTCTTTAATCTGCAATAATGGAGAAAGACAGTTCTGAAGGGCTCTCACTTTCATGGGGGAGGTAGAGTCTTCACCTACAGGAAAACCCCAGCTACATGAAGGAAATTGAGTCTTCACCCTTGAGGAGTGTAAGTGAGAAATGGAACAGGATGTCTGAATCTGAAATCATGGGTTTTTTCTCTTGAAACTACTGTAATCACCCTTCTTAGGTTCCTCATATTTGACACCCTCATCTCTAGATCTCCCTCTCAGTCAACCTTGTTACCTTCCTTTTCTTTCTCTCCTGATCTCATCACCAAGTTCTATTGATTCTTCCTCATGTTTCTCAAGCCTAGTTCAGTCCCTTCCTTTCCAGTTCTATTGCCACTAGACTAGTTTAGGCCTGTATCATTTTTTATTTGGATTATTTTGCAACTGGTCTCATCTCCCTGTCTCTGGTTTCTTTCTTCTTTGAACACCACTGCCAGAGTAATTTTCCTTATCAAGGTTTAAAATCAAGACACTCATCTCCCTGCTCAAAATCCTTGGCCCCCACATTCTATAGAATAAAATACAAACCTAGTCTAGCTTTCAAGGCACTCTGCAATCTGTTTCCCTCCTATATTTCTGGTCTTAGTCATACTACACCCATTCTGTTGCCCAATTATATTTTGCCCTTTCCCCCCATCCCCTTCATAACTTGTACATGCTAGAATGGTAAATCCCACA